AGGCTCACACAAACCAGCAAAATGGCTTCTCAGCCAGATAATGGAAGTGTTGGCAGAGCACATTGAAGTTGTATACCCGAATGTGAAAAAAAACGTGGTATCCTGTTGCTACGGAGAGGGTCCAACACGCAACAGGCCCTTGCATGATGCTCTTTCCGCCCAGCGATGCGCTTCAATGTCACACGACAAGCTTGCCACGGACATACCTGTAGTGAACAAGAGGACAGAATCAGAAAAGGGAGTTTCGGCAATGGCGGAGCAGGTACACATGATGGTCAGGGCACAGGCTGGTGAAGGCAAATGGGTTGTGTGGCCCAGGTTGCAAGTGTCACAACTGCCAGAACATGCCAAGCGCCACCACCTCCAGCAATTGAGCTACGTGTAAGTATGTATGCAAGTACATGTACCGGTATGCATATTTGGATGCGTGTATAATGTCATAATTGTGTTATGCATGTTCACGCAGATTTAAAATAGTCTCAAATCTGCAACTGGTCTGCAAGCATACCTTGTATGTTGTGTGTAACTGTCTGGAAGTGTTCAATTTCACACCGTTGACATCTCTGTGCTTGCTGAGGTTTTGAAATTTTAACTATGGCTTTGCTGTTTCATGTATGTCCATTTTGGGGTGAATTATTTCCAATGCCAAAGGTCCGGCCTCATTTCTCGGTGTTGACCTGAAGGAGCTGCACGATTTGTTAAACCGCAAGCAATGTTAGTGGACAGAAATGCACGTACATGTATGTATGTACAATTTTAAACCCACACACACACGTAACTACATATTGTATCTTTTTTCCAAGAGCGTTTTGATGGTTTCTGAGAGCTGAGGTATTTCAGAACAGTTCACAAATGCACTACAATAGTTCAGACACCAGAACTGAATACGTTTTATAACTTTGTATACTTTTAGTGGCTGCTGGTATACTCGTTTTCCACATGACAACAATATGTATAAAAATTATCGAAATGATATACAAAGTCTTTCAATTAGTGCCATCGGCTTAGCCGTGCTGGTATGCTCAGACTATTTCTATCACAGGGCACACAATTATGTACTTACTGAGGTTTCTAATGACTGCCTCGTGTCCGCGGCTTCTGGCAGCTGCAATTCGTCTACTTCTCGACTCGAGTCGACGAAATTAGAAAAATAGGGAATATAGTTTCTTCCTAATAAAAGAGGTACATTGAGGTTACGACCTCAAATTCCCACTCGTCATCACAGCAAAGGATAGAACTCATCATTTCCCACTACATTGGTGACTTAGGAACCCAGTGATATGATAGGAGAAGCAAAATCAATTGCCAAAAATTAGGCAAAATTCTCCCTCAACTGCCATGAGCGTCGTCATCTTTCCCTGCATAAAACCTGTATCACCCTTTCCCGCAAATAAAATAAAAATCAGGCAAATCAAGGCTTGGCGCACGGACTGTTTTATATGGGCCAGATGCGCGGCGCGCTGCCTTCATTACATCATTCAGCTGCAGTCCGCGCACTGCGGAAAATCAAACACCGCACTTTCTCTCCAGTTTGAAATGAACTTTCGTACGGAACTGGAGTTCACGCGCCAGAATTCAGAGATTGTGTAGGTACTGGAACGAATCGAGCAAAAACGGATGGGCTCGTGCGAGAAATTGAGAGTTTGAATGCATGCTTTCAGAGCGCGATGAAGGCAAGTTACGTAATGAAGGCAGCGCGCCACGCATGCACCCATAATCACAGTTGCATACTCTTGGGTTTTTTTTTTTTTTTTTTTTAACTCAAACCATGCCTCTTGTACGGGCAAAACATAAAATAAAGACAATCAATTATTATTATTATTATTATTTAAATTTTGAATAGGGCAATCCCCACAGGCCTAAGGCCTTTTTACAGGGTACCCTATGTGGTCACGTATAGATTTGCGGAATAGTGAAAGCGAGGAGCAAGAGCGAATGTCAGCTGGAAGAGAATTCCAGCGGTCAGAAGCCAGAAAGCTCAAAGCGAATAAGCCATAACGAGTGCGTGCTTTAGGCAGAGCAAGTGAATCTATGGACTGGGAACGTGTATGGGCAGCTGTGCGTGTTGTGGCAGAACGAAGGCAGAAGCAATCAGAGAGCAGAGTGCTACACATTCCACGTAGGGCCCGAAAGACAAGAATATACAGTTTAAGCTGATAGCGCAGTGCAATAGGAGCAAGGCCATATCTGGTGTGTAAGACTGAAACATCATAGTGCCAAGGGAAACCAAAAACAATCCTAACAGCGCGGTTAGCAATACGAGTTAGTCTATCATGTTGTGTGGTGTGAAGGCAGTGTACAAACGCATTAGAACCATATTCGAGGTGTGCTTGAATAAATGAGCAGTAGAAGGTCTTTCTCGCAGCCGGTGTCAGATTGTCCCTGATCTTCCGGAACATGGCAAGTTTTGTTCCGACCTTTTTCTCAACTTCAGTGACATATGAGGAGAATGATAGATGTTCGTCAATGGTGAGGCCAAGATACTTCACCGTTGGTGTTGGGGATATGAGGACATCGCCGAGCCGAAGGCAGATGTTAGGAGGAACACATTTTGTTTTTTGTCTTATGATGATAAATTGAGTCTTGGAGTTATTAAGATTGAGACCTCGGTCACGTAGGTACTCTCTGATGACAGATATGTCAGCAGAGAGATCATCAGTGAGTTTCTGCAAGTTCGTGCCTGCCTTATACATAGACACGTCGTCTGCAAATTGCCGAACCTTGCTCGTGATGGTACATGATGGCAGAGCTCGGACAGATAGGTTAAAGAGGGCAGGACCCAATGTTGACCCTTGAGGTACACCTCTTGTAGGTGTGTACTGTTCACCTTCCTGATGCTTCGTGACTACTCGTTGGCGACGGTCACATAGGAAACTAGCTATCCATTGCAGTGCAGTACCACCGACACCAATAGAGAAGAGTTCTTGAAGAAGGGAGGCGTGATTGACTGTGTCAAATGCTTTGCTGAGATCGAGAAAAGCAGCGACAACAAATTGGCCCTTGTCTAGACATGCTTGCCAGTCGTTTGTTGTCATGGCTAAAAGATCTTCGCAGGAATGCTGCTTGCGGTAGGCGAACTGTTCATTCGGCAACGCGTTCGGAAATGATTCACCTTGTATGTGCGACATGATCTGCTCATACGCGCACCTCTCCAGCAGCTTGGAAGCGATCGGGAGGAGGGAAATAGGTCGATAATTACTGGGATCAGATGAACTCCCGCGCTTGTGAATTGGACGAACGTTGGCAATCTTGTATAAAGAGGGAAAAATACCTGATCTGAAAGAGATGGTGAAGAGCTGGGCAAGAGAGGGAGCGATTTGTTTCTGGAGGAGTTTGTAGATGGACGGAGGTATTTTATCTGGACCACTTGCTTTGTGGCTGTCAAGGCGTTTCAAATGGGACACTATGGTTGCTGCTGACACCGGTTCAAACTCAGTGAGGGACGGCTCTGGCATTGGTCCGATCGGTAGTTCGATACCTGTGCCTGATCGTGAGGGTGCACTCGAAGCGCGCTGTGGAGCGGTCGGTGATACGTTGAGGTGTCCAAAGGTCACGGTGCTAGCTGCACCTGCAGGTGTTGCTGGGGCAGGGGCTCGAGGTGAGACTATCCTGGCGAACGTTGCTGAAATGTCTTTGACTGAGGCATGGGGCTCATGGTACACAGTTGTTCTCCCAAGCAAAGAGTTGATTGTTTTCCACTGTAGCCTTGGGTTGCGATTGTTTCGAGTCAGTTCGTTTTGGAAATACGCAGCTTTCTTTCTTCGCATGAGGAGTTTACTTTCGCGCCTTAGAGCACGGAAAGCCTGAGTTAGACGTTGATCATCCGGTCTCTGTATCATTTTCCTATGTGCTCTTTTCCGGCGATAGAGTAATTGCCTTAGTTCACCGTCCAGCCAAGGAGAAGGTTTGTATCGTGGTGACGTGGTGATGGTCCAATGATTAGATCGAGCGCACGCGGTGATGATCATGTACAATGTCATTAATGACACTTGACAGATATAAATAATGTAAGCCTCAAGCTGAGATTCTTGCTTCAGCAACAACAAGCGCTGCCGAGTCTGAGGCCATTGCTGGTAAGAATGCCTTGCGTGCACCACGCAAGCACATCAGCGCTGAACGGACCAGTGCAAAGCCAATCTGGCAGCGGATGGCAGCTAGGGTGATGCTGTATGGCTCCCCAGTCTTGGCAGCAAGGAGAGAGGCGATGCGTTTGTAGAGCGAAGCACCATGCTTTCCCATGCCTCCGGTGGTAGAGAAGATGGCGGGGACAAAGCTGGAATGCTCCACCTCCCTCAGGCGCTGCTCATACGCACGACGCTTAGCCTTTTCATGACGGACATAGGTAGCAGCAAGTGAGTTGGAACGGTTCGAAGACGCATGGGGGTTGAATACCCGTACATCAATGTAGGTGCGTTCGAACCGTCCTCCCCAAATGCCACTAGCCACGACGTCTAGGCGTGCCTGGTCGTCAGCAATAGCAGTGCGATAACGGAGTTGCTCTCCGGAGAGTAGCTGGAGGTGTGGCTCAACTGCCACCTGATGGGCCACCCGCCTGAGCAGACGAGCAGTGAGGTCCCTCACCTCGTTGTGACGAATGGACGGAAATCCACCCGTCGGACACGAGAGGGAGTGAGACACAGTGAACTGCTGCCCACACGCACACAGTGATGGTAGCATACTCTTGGGTTATGGACTCTCTACAACGTTACGTATGTCGATGTCGCGGGCCTCGCGAGTCGACCGGCCGGTCATCGTGTCGGTATGCCCGACTGCAAATCGTTAGCGACGCATGCTAGTCTAGTCTCGTAGATCTACACCCATACTATTTTTTGGCCAGGCTTACCGGGCTCCTCTAGCGCGCTAATCCTCGCCTAGCGCGCCTGCGCCCGCGGCCATGTGGCGGGGGTATTGGGTACGGGTACCGGGCTCGCGGGTGCGGAGATCGAGACTAGACTGCGGGCCACGCTGTCAGTTCGGTGAAATGCGTGAAAGACTTTGTC